CTTAGATACCCTTTACATAGAATTTTGAATCAATATTGATCTCTGTTCTTATAGAAACATTTCAGCTTAGAATTTACTTTATTTCATCAGGTTTTGTGCTTCAAAATAATAACACACCAGCCACCGTATTATATTCCTCTTGTTTCTAAATTACACGAAGATAATGTAGAATTTCCAACCATTAGCGTTTTGACTTATATTAAAGATTCTATTTACCTATATGTGTTAAACACAAAGAAATAAATAAATTACACTATAATGTATACCAGACAAAGGTTTTTCATCAGTACTACAATTTATTTTAACTAAATTGAATATTTTCTACTAGTATAAAAAACATATGTATTTTACAGAAACACTTTATTTATCAACAAATGTAAAACAAATTAATACATTTATAATCGAAAAATATTATTAAATATGTTAATAAGCGATATATATAATTTATTAAATAAATTAATATATCGTATCATATACAAAGTTTTATGTACAAATTCATATGTACGCATATAGTTAACAACTTATTTTACTATTTAATAGTATTTAAAAAATAATTAATATAAAGGCACCTGAGTTCATTAAAATTGGTATATATTTCACTTATTCACTTGATTTGATTTCCCTGAATAAATACGAAATTTGACTAGTGATCAAAGCATTATCACTAAAATTTTATATAACATCAATATTAAGCTATGTTTGTTTCTTTATATTACGTTAATATTTTTTTATATGTAATTATTAATATTTTTGATTTTATCAAATATTCTTACATTTTGTACAATTGCGGTGGTTCCCTTGTAGAGGGAATGCCTTGATCATATTTTCCCATCTCGGCTTCATATAACAAATTGTTAATTAAGTGTTTAACAACTATTTTGGACTTAGAGGACTTAAGTTTACGTATTGTTATGGCAACGTATTCACCAAACACGCCATACTCATCTGTAGGCGTTGTTGCTCTATGAGAATCACATTGATTAACTTCAACTATGGAATGTTCATTAGATTTGGTTTGTTTTGATGTACTTGGACCATCTTCTTCATTATATGGATCCAAATGCAAATGAGCTTTACGTTTCTTATTTAAGGCTGCAGAATCCTTTTGTTGATAAAAATTATAAGAGCTGGGAGTTATAGCACGCTGACGTTCACATATTGATAAATCAGTTATATCGCCTTCAATCTTGAGATTTGTTAAAATAATTATCACAAAAAAAATTTATAAAAAGATATATTAGAATCGGTTTAATATTATATTTTATTTAGTGATTTTTAATTCATAAGGATCATACTTTAAAAATAATTTATACTTGAAGAAATAATCAGTTTATTAAATTAAATTAATATAGTGATAAATAAATATTATATATAATAAATAACGATATAGTTGATGAATAATATAGTTAAATGAACAATATATAAAAAGTATCTAAAATTTTGGTCCACCTTTTTAACTTTGTTCTAAACTACACGTTATAAATAATCGGCGAGGTGGACACACAAGTTGCGGTAATAATAATAGATTAAACTAGACTAAAAATGTTATCACTGATTAGCCTGTAACAGAATAAATAAAAACAAAACATAGGATTACAGTATCTACAATAACAGCACCATGCATAACAACAGACGGTGCAAGTATTGAAAATATAAAAGACATTAAACACCTTTGTAAGCTCTTGATCCAACTCAACATCTTAAAGATCAGAATCTAAGTAGTTAATGTGAGCTACTAAGAACTTATGCTTAGAAATTAAAACTGTGAAGACCAAGATAAAAAAATTGGAGACAGTTCTTGGATAGGGTTTCGAATCAGACAAATTGACACAAGTAGACTTGCTATATTCCAGAGGAAGGTGTATATTTGGTTAGTTATTGCTTTTTATAAGATATATCTCTTTAATATAATTATATATAACAGTTATACATGTTATACAGACATATAAATAAATAATCTACAATTTTTTACGAACCGTTAATAGTAAACTGTGAGAGCACAATAAAGAAGAGAACTACAAAACAGATGGATCTGCAGAGTTAAATAAGATTTCAAAACACTGTGCGAAAAAAGCACTTAGAAATACACATGACTGTAAAAAGATAATTCTGCAGATCTAGATGTTTTATATCACGTCAAATTATGTATATTGATGATTTTAAAAATCTGATCAAATGTAGAGGGGAAGATGAAATGGAACGAGATTGAAACCTTCTCAAATGTATAGAAATTCTACAGTTCCCATAATTATGTAGAGAGCGTTGGATGTTTTACAAGTAGCAGGTTACACAGATGAATATTATTATAGCAATTCTGTACTGCATTATTTTGTTTAAATTCAAATAATTCACATTAAAATAAACTAAAAATTATAATATAATTTTTTTTAGTTAAAATTAGCTAACAACATCCATCCAACAGCAACTTTATAAACTGAACAAATAAAACCTATTTTTTTCCATTGTATAGTTTTTTGTATTTTGTTAACATTCGGTATGAGTTGCACAGAAATAGTAGTAGTTAATTTTTGACAAATTTCATTCGAGTACTTTCAAATTCTTATATTGATATCTATATCACTAACCTCTAAACATAGGTTACCTATGTGAACATATCTTTTTTGAGTTTTTAATAATATTTTTGATATGAAAATGTGATTATTTACATATTATATATGATAGGGTCATATGTGAATAAATTTTTCACAATGAAGAAATTAAACCCAAGAAGAAGAAGCAGAAACTTCGTTAATAAGTAGGACAGACAGATCGTAACAGACAGATCATAAATCAGAGGAGTATGGTTTAAAATTCCAACATAACAGATACCCTTTCCGCAGTAATACTTTGGCGGTTCAAAAAAGGAATAGGTTTCTACGAAGAGGAATAAGTATTTTAGTTTGTTTATTACATATTAATATCTTAGGGACTATTCTGTCAGCGGTCAGCTTTACGTCGAACCGGTTTTCGTTCCAGTTCAAAACAAAGAAATATATCGGTTCGGTTTCGTTTTTTGCTCCGATATAGTTTTTTTCGGTTTCCGGTTTAAAGCCCTGAATTTTTCTGTTCCGGTTCAAAACAAAAAAATATATATCGGTTCGGTTTTAGTTTCCGCTCCGACAAAAATATCGGTTTTTTCGCTTTTCCATTCGGGTCCGGTTCAAAGCCCTGAATTTTTCCATTCCGGTTCGAAACAAAAAAAATATATCGGTTCAGTTTCGGTTTTCGCTCCGATAAAAATATCGGTTTTTTTGGTTTTTGGTCCGGTTCCGGTTCGAAGCCCTGCTTCACACCCAATTCAAAATAATAATGATATATTTTTTTTATATTTTGGCAAACTGAACATTCAGAATTTTTTACATACTTAAAATTAAAATTACTAATACAAACATTTTATGAAAACTAAATATATGTACATATATTAGAAGCTAATAGGTACTTACAATTTCGGTTTTGACATCTTCAGCTCTAATGTTGCAATAACTTTGTACATCATTCTCATTATAGGAACGCGTCTGTAAATGACAAATTAAAACGGAAAAAATAATAAATAGACTTTAAGAAAACTCAGGAACCAGTTTAACATTTCTAAACATTGTATGCTTAGCAAGTTCAAATGTGAAGAATCTGATGCAACCCAGCATTATTAATATATGCACAACACAAAACACAAAAACAAAAACAAAAATAATAAATGTAAATACAAAAAAAGCAACAACAAACCAAAGCGAAAAAACGGCAATGCTTTTTCGCTGCTTATCAGTTTTAAGACCGCGTGCAGTAGTAAACCACAAACAAAAGCATTGTCGTTTGCTACATGAAACACGTACGCTTTTATATGATGAAAAAAAAAAACAAAAAATAATTGCCCCGACTAGCCTCTGCCGTTGATACGTCTTAAGACAGTCGGGTAGGCAAGCAGCAAGCAGCGAACAAGTTGAACCACTCGTTTACTGCGCGCTTTACTCGGCAATTCCAAGCACAAGCGCAAGCACACAACTTAAATAAATAAAACTCAGCGCAGAAAATGTTAATAACAAAAATAAATAAATAAATTATATTATATGCGAAAATACAATAACAATAACAAATACAGAATCAATATCATTACCACACTTACCGCAGCGAATTCCTCATTTGCTGTCATTGTTGTTGTTACCGCTGTTAAATTGTTACGGCCAACTATTTCACCAACACCAACACCAACACCAGCAACACGCGCAACAAAGTTATTGTCATCAGCATATGAATATGTTCCTGTTGTTGTTGTTGCTGTTGCTGCAATTGCTGGTATAGTCGTCATTGGTATGAATGTTGTTGCTGTTGAAGGTGCTGCCGTGGTTGTGGTTGTTGTTGTTTTTACACAATCTAATTCATGTGTTAGTGCAGGTATCACTGCAGCCCGTGCAGTGTATGTTATTTTGGAATTTGTCATTTTTTGTTTTTGGCAGCTTTCTGCTTCATTTTTTTTACTGGCATTTTCAATAATTGCACCTTCTTCACTATCCACTCCGCTCGCCTGTTGCTCATCTACACGTACTATTTTTCCTGTACTCTTTACGAATTTCTCATCAATTTCTTCATCACCAACACGTACTGGCTCACCATCTAATATGAAACGTATTGCCTCATAAGCGAACCACATGGGCTGATAATGCACACCTTTCCGTCGGCCACTGAGCACCTTGCCATGTTCGCGGTGAAATGAGGAACGCAAACTTTTTATTTTGCTACGTATGGAACGTATTTCGGTACCATATTTCTGGCCAAGTGTCTTAAGCGCTTCATATTTCGTTTGCTTTATGTGATAACCTTTAGTATTCGGATCCCAGAGCACACGTTTCTGACGGTAATCTTCTATGAAATTGAGTATAGTAGTTCGGGACCATTCAATCCTGTCCGTTGTAGGTGAACTTGTGTCTGCTGTGGTAATAGCTGACATAACAGGGATTTTATTATCGCTGTTCTTCTGCATGCTGGCTGAATATGCAACAATGTTGCCGCTTCAATTTGTTTATGCTGGCGGAATGCTGATAAAAGCGTCGTGTATAGTCAAAAAAGTACTCGTATATGGCGGAAGGAATGTATAAACTTTTTTTATATTAAATTAAATAATTGTTTGTTATCTTTTTGCTGATGACTGCAATTTGTCGTTTTCACATACATATGTTGTATATATACGTATATAGTATTGTTGTTGCTGTTATCGTTGCGTTTGTTAACGTTGTTTGTTGCTGGCGTTGATTGCGTTGAATGCGTTGCCTCCGTCCGCAACGTTTGCAGCTCATACGTAAATGATCATTCACCGTTGAAATCACGATTTGTACTAATTTCGTATATTAAAACTGTGTGTGGCAGTGTCAGTGTTGTTATTGTTTACGTTGTTGTTGTTGGTGTGGTACTCGCTGCTGCTTCGTGTCGCCGCATCGTCATCATAAAAGCGTCGCGTTAAATGTTATTTTACTTTTATTTTAGTTTGAAGCTTTGGAAGTACACAACACAACAACAAAGGCCATATTAACAATATAAAACAACAACAAATAAATGCTTAGCAATGCATTTCATGGCAATTGTGGCAACGTTTCGTTCAAATTCACTGCTGTTGCTGCTGCTAGCGCTGTTGCTTCTCTGCTTCTACTTGTTTTGTTATTCTATGTTGTTGTTATTATTGTTGGTTTTTTATTTACTCACGAGCGTAAAATCAAATGAGTAAGTTTTTTTGTTAAGTTTGTTAATATATTTTTAAGCAACAAATGTTAAGGCATAATAACACCTCGCTCAGGGTCGCCTGTTGATCGTCGTCGATTTTCGCTGCAGCACTCAACTGTCAGCAAACTAATACTGTTTCTATTTTTTATTTTTTATTTAATTTTTTTATTATTATTATCGCTATGTTATGCTCTAGTATGCTAATATAAACACCACACACTTCACCTTCCCTGCACGTCTACCCACGCCCAATAAAAATTGCGGAAGAGTTTTTCAATTGTTTTTTCTACTTTTAGCCAAGCTCTGTTTTCGTTTCGATTCTTTTGAAAAAGAAGCATGGGGCAGCGTTGTTGACTTTGAAGTTTTTATAGATGTCACACGAAATATTCGTTTGACAAACAGTAATGATTTTATGTTATTTCGATTAAATTGAAATGGTCATGTTTAATAAATACAAATGTAATGGAAATATACAGACTACAAATAATTATTTTACAATATTATCTTATTATATATATAATATTGCTTACGTATGTAACTTATAAAAATATATCTGAACATTACCAAATCCTTTTTGTTTGTACCCTATGAAGAAATAATCGGTGTTTTTTTTTAATAATAAAGACTTGCTTAACATAGATAACACACTTCAGGAAATAAATAATAACAATAATATTAATAAAAAATAATAAAAATATATGAAAAGTTATAATAATATTTGCAATAAAGGTAATGTAATATGCATAGGTGTATTCTTTTGACATGAATGCTGCAATAGAAGAACATTTGGTGCTTAAGAATAACTTGGCAGCACTGCCTAAACTAGTAAACATATGAAAAGTAAGTAAATTAATAAAGGTAAGGTAAGGTAAGTAAGCTTTGCAATAAAGGTAATGTAGACCGTGTACGCGTTCGAGAACATTGAGGTAAAATAAATTGAAATTTTGCACTGGATTTTTTGCACTGCACTTATGTAAAAATATATTTATTTATTGCATTTATTTATTATTTTTAGTTAAAAGTTTTTAAATTAATTTATTTAATAATCAAAAAAATGTTCACAATGGTAACATCTCATTTACCTACTTTTTATCTAATTTACTCTACTCGAAATTCCGGTAAATATCAAAATTCGCTGCCATACCGACATAAATTACTGTTCCCCTCAATTTACTCGAACTCGCACACGGCCGTAATATGTATAGGTGTATTCTTTTGTCATGAATGCTGCAATAGAACATCTTTTAGTGCTAAAGTATAACTGGGCATCACTACCAATGAATGACACAAAAAATTATTGATGAGCATTTTCTATTGTATATGTATTTAACCAGTGACGACGCGTGCCCTATCTGGAAGGGTGTGCGGCCCTTCTTTAATGTTGTTTTTACATGTACCACTTATATTAAAATATATGAGATCTTTTATTAATAATAACTATTTTATATAAGGCAACAATATATTCGCGCAATATTATATTAACAATTCATTAACAAAATAACATATTAAACAAATTAAATTAATAATTTATATACAAGTTTAATATTATATCAATATGGAAGAAACAAAACTTTTTACATAATTCTCGTAACATCAAACCAAATTTTTTCAAACAAAAGAGTTTGTACTTAGAAACATACATGTTTGTGCAGTGATCAAACAAAATCGAAACCACTTGCAATGTGCGCACAAGTACCCCGCACAATAAGAACAGAAATTCGTGGGTGCTGCTGTTAAAAGGGGAGAGACGAAATGTGATAAAAATGTATGGTGAGATGAGCTGCAAACTTCAGCCGCTCATGCAACCACTTTGGCAAATCATCATGTTGGATTCGTATGCATACAGTTGATATTCGAATAGAACAGAAAATTACTCTCATACAATTCCCACTATATAAATCTCTATTTCTGATATTACGAACGGGAGCACACGCACATTATTTTGTTCATATGTAACGTATGAATGTGCGTCCAACTTCTTTGCACACAAAGGGGAGAGACGAAATATAATAGAAATGTTCTGTGATTTGAGCTGCAAATATATGAGCACAACTAACAAGTATAGCGGCTAACAGAAGCAAATTAATTGAGTTTTCATAGACAATTATATTTAATTGTTTTTGCTAAAACTTTAAAAATATATATTTATATGGAAATGTAATAAATAATAATAATTCTTGATGTAAAGATACTTAATAAATTTATATACCTATGTTATTTAACATTTTGCAAATTATATTAGGGTGTTCACCGCACACCTCCGCACCTTAGAGCAGTCGTCACTGATTTAAATGTATATAAAAGTACATATTTTATTGAGGCTTTATCCGTGATAACGGAGAAAACGGTATGTATATTGTGCAAATATTTGAAATAAAATCCAATAGAATATATTTTTTATTGAACATAGAAACTAAAAATTCCTTAATACAAGATTAAATTCTTCACAATTATTAAGTTATCAGGCATCTTCAAAAATTTTATTAAAAAAAAAGTTAAAAATATTTAAATTTACTCATTAATACTCGCAACAGTTGTAAATAATAAACAGCTGTCTAAAGGTTTCCATTTTCTTCCAAAAATCATTTACAATAGATCAGTTTTAAGATTTAGCACCATTGTAGTGCAAGTGGCTTATTCATTAACCACTTTGTTTTTGCTTTGTATCTTAATTTTTAAACGGCACAATAAAACATTGTATTAAAATTATTTAATATGCAACTTATATCGGAAATACAGAACATCTTTTTTAAAGGAATACAAAATGCAGAAATGTTAATAGTTTAACCGTATAGGTCTAATACCGATACCTCATTCCAGAAATCATGTGTGACAAAGACATTACAAAATTACAACCCCTAGTATTTAAACTATAAATATATATATATATGTATCAGTCAAAATTTCGTAGAAGTAAGAAAAGGAAATTCTCTCTGGATATTATTTTTTAGTAGTAATGGTTGACTACGTGTAAATTGTGGTATTTTGATTTTTTATTTAAATTTTACTGCTAGATTATTCCAGAAACTGCATCTGTTCATTTTTAACTGAAGAAGCTATGATTAGGTTCACTAAGTGAAAAAATAACTATTGGACCAACTTTCATTGATTAACTGATGATGATATTATAAAATTTTATCAATTGTTGTTATGTATCACATTGGCTTTTATTCATATATTAAGTAGGAAATAAATCTTTTCTTTAACTAAAAATCCAATACTTTTTAAAATTGAATTTTATCAGTCTTAAAGCCTAACTATCCAAAAAAAATTAAGATAAAGTTTAAATTTTAAAAGAAATGAAGAGTGGACGCAGTTACATAGACATAGATTTCTGACCAGCGGTTAAATCTGCTGTTAATTATACAATAATTTAAACGATATTGGTAAAGATCGCCCCTTAAGAATTGAAAACTAATACAAACAAGTTATTTAGTTTCCGAAATTTGACTTTTTTTTAAATATATGTTAGTATCTATCACGAACCACTTTGTAAAATACTATTCAAATGTGAATTATCTTCCATACTTTGAATTTGAGGCAACAATGGTAACAATACCCTTAGTTGTCGATATATATATCCACTAACAGTTTTGACATGAAAAAATAATTTACATTTTTTTATATCAGTTTATAAAAATTATTGTATAAATGTTATATGTGTAAACTGCTGTGTATGTAATATTAATGTTCAAAGAACGATAATATAGAGAACTTCAGAAAACCGTCAATCCAAAAAACCAATTTAGGAAAATATTCTATACGTAGTCTATTATATCATTTAATACCTAATATGTCTCCAATCTTATTGAGAACCTTTGAATAAAAAAAAGTGATAAATAAGATTTGCTGAAAAAGCAATCAAACATTTTTAAAAACTCAAATTTCAACCACCATAATTTCTGAACCCATTTAAGTACAAAAATATATTAATCATAAATTAAAAGACATTATATGTGGATTAGAATTCATATAGAATAAAGTTATATAATTGATTTATTTGACTTAAAGTTTTTTCGGAAAGATGATTATTTGCCACCCCGAATTTATTAGGGGGATTATTTCCCTCAATGAGGATTATTTCCCTCAATTTACCATTATTTAATGGTAAATTAAGGGAAATAGTAAATTATGTAAGTATGACAGCGAATGTTGGTATTTACCAGAATTTAGAGTAGGGTAAATTAGATAAAAATTAGGTAAACTAGGTGTTACCATCGTGAAAATTTATTTTTAATATTTAATAAATAAATTTAAAAACTTTTAACCAAAAATAATAAATAAATGCAATAAATAAATATATAAATATTTACTTAAGTGCAGTGCAAAAAATCTTTAGAAAATTTCAATTTACTTTACCTCAATTCACTCGAACTCTCACACGGCCTAAATAGTAATAATATCTAATAATAATATCTATGCTATTATGTGAAATAGTTTTTTGTGTTATATTTTATTACTAGCAATTAATGTTGGCAACAATAAACATGTTTACACGAAAAAATTAAGCGAATAATTAAATTTGTAAAGCTATTAAATAAAATTTGAAGGATTTGCAATAAACAAAGCTAATAATTAATTTATGTTGTAGATAAAATTTTAAATTATATTAGAAATAGAAACACTTATCTTAAAGTAATTAGCACACCTACATAGTCGGAGCAGTCTGTAGACGCGTTTATAGCATCGGCCTCCATTCTGAAATGTTCATAAACTAAACAGTTAAACTTAGAAGAAAATAGTAATAATTTTCAATGAAATATGCAGTAAATAAAAGTTAAGGTGCAAAACAAATGAAAATTCTGTCATAACAATATTATTTATTTATCACCTTTATGCAAATATTAATAATTGCTAAACAATATTGCTATTGTATAGCATGAGGAATTTCAAAGTTTTAATTGTAATTACACGTGTTTTTATTTGCGTAAGAAAAACATGTTATTTATTTATTATTTACCTTAAGCTTATAAGGCATTCCAGTGTTCTAAAAAATTCATTATTAATTGTAAGAACAGAATCGTTATTATATTCATATATACAAAGATATTGATATTCATTGTGGTTTCCAGTTCAGAGAGTTCCAAACTGGATTTCATCAAATTTAAGTAATTATCTCTCAACTATTTTAAAAAAATTAAACAGCTTATTTAACAAATTAAAAACTTAGAAAACATTTTTGATAATGTCATGAAAGATTAAAGACCTCTTTTCAAAAAAATCTATGTGAAACGCACATATAGGTATAAATATAGATATAGACATTGAGCATGGCTCAATGAATTTGTTTCGTTTTGTTTATTGTATAAATATAATTATTAGTTCATATACATTACAACGATATTTATATTAATATTTTAATGTGCTGTGTCTGAGCTTCAAATTTGGCAGGACACGCATTCGATTCCAGGTACTTCCAGTCTTAAAAGATTATTTACGAATAATTAAACACAAGGATTATTTCCAAGACCACTGATGATGGGTATTTGGCAATACTGGAAACAGTATGGTCAAAAATTTAATTAATTAAAATAATATAAACTGAATTTTTGTTGTTGTAGTTCACTACTGTTCGAGAAACCTCTTTATGAAATATACTAGTTTCTATTAAATATAATAGTCACTTCCGTCTGCAAAATTTGACGTTAAATTACAACTTATATTCACATAATATTTTAATATAATATAAATATTTATATATATATATATCTATATACCATACATATATTAATATAATTATTTTATACACCCATTTATACAGTATATGAACTATATGAACGCTCTTCCATTCACTACGTTACAAACTTAATAAAGATCTTAATATACCTTTTTAGCACTATGCACATAGAGTACGTTTTTATCACTATAAAATAATCGTTTATTTAGTTTACTTATTTAGCACTTTACAATTTGGAAACAAACTATGTTGTCACATATGAAACTGTCTCCAAATCACCAAGTATTAAACGATGAAACATTGCTTTTCACTAAAAGACATTGTATGGTGTACCAGTTGGTATGGAGATATGATAGACGATATGAAATTAACAAAATGTAAGACAAATTGTCAATTGTGATCTACAGTCATATAATATTAATATGGTTTCAAAAAATAGATTCATTAGCCACACAAAATTTCCTATTTTGACACAAATAGACATGATAAATTAAGTTGCGTTATATTATCTACCATGATTATGTGATTTCTCACCACTAGACTTTTCTTGGTAAGTTTACGCAAGTAATCTCATTTACACTACCAAACTTCAAACTTTCGATTCCTTGAAGCATCATACTGAACAACTATCAAGTTATGGTCAAGTAATTACGAAGTATGTGTTCCAACTTATCGAATATTACCACATAAGGTAGATCCAGTACCACTAGATGTCATGGAAACAACATTTGAATAATTTAAACCTTACTATTAGGTCTGAAATAAAAAAGAAATAAAAATGTGATCAAAATTTCAATAACATATCTATTTTATTTTCGACAATTTTTGGAGCCACTAATTGGATAACCCTGTAATTCTATATATAAAAACAAGTTTATAATTTTTTCTTCACAAAATATGTTGAAATTATGATTTTAAAATTATTGTTTTAGAATTATATATCATCAATACATATTTGAATAATAGTAAAAATGTTTGATATTCGCGACTTGTCCTAACTTATTTCAATTTCTTTCTTAATATTTACCGCTTCACTAAGAGACCAAAACTGAAGCCAATACTCTGATAGGGAATAAACATTTTTCAAGAACGTATATAATTTATTTAAATAAAATAATTGTAATAATAAAGTTTCACAAAAATTTTGAAAAGTGAATCTTCAATTATA